TTTCAAATATGCCATGCTTTATTCTTTTTAAATTACATATACATTTTACTCTCTCACATATGCATATATACTTATATAATATATATATGTATATGTATATATATATGTACATATATATTTCCTATCAATTTTAGGAGTGAACAAATGAGGACCCTATTCCACAGTTTAGAAAAATTGCCCCTCATTAATACCTCATATACTCTAAACAGAGAAAATGTTAACACTGGCTTATTAAAAAGATTACACCATCTTTCTTTACTTTTCTTGAAATTTTTAGTGACTTCTAGCAAAATTATGAGTGCCAAGATTGAGTTTACAATCATCTATTTTTCTATCATCTATTCTCTGTTATTGCAAACACATAAATTAAGAAGGAAAAAAATATGAGGAAGTAACACCAATCTGGGGTTCAGAAAGATTCAATATTTAGTGTTAATATTTTCCAGATCTCAAAAAGCATGTGTTTTGAACAATTTTCTCTGTATCATTTTTCCTAAAGGTAAATTATGATTTTGGGGTCATTTGGCCAAGAACAGTTTCTCTCTTTACCTTGCAGTGATTTCCTCCTAGCAAAAAGACTTACAAAGCATACCGTAACCAATTATGCAGCCTTCATTAATATGTAGGGCAATGTCTAGGTCAGAGATGACTGGCCTTCTCTTTACAGCCGTTCTCTTTATAGCCTTCTCTAGCTCTGGGCTCTGGTTACAATGTTGCTCCCTGCACTGTGTTTCCATATCCAGTATCACAGAATGCAAACAGTGTCCTGAGAACACCAGGAACACCTGCCTTTGTACTGTCAGCAGCACCCTATACATGGTCCCTGAGCCCTACCTTTACCTGTTAATAATCCTTTTATTAAAGCAAGCTAAATAGGCCTATCTTATTATTCCATCTCTTTCTTCTCAGATCTTTATCTGATATCATATCCTAGATCTAACTTTATTAGAACTAATTTCTAAATATTTGCCAAGCCATTTTATTAAAAATAAATATTCTAACCAAAAATGTGTGGTTTCAATATTTGGCCATCATTTTATAATACAAGATTATAATGAAGTTCTATAGCACTCATGGTTTTTTTGGTAATAGGATATTAACACTTTTATTTCAGAGAAGGAAACCTTTTCCATCTACATCTGAGTGCTCTCTAGGTGCTTGTCTCTCTTTGTCTCTTAAAAATCCCCCTTACTTGCCTTGCTACATTGCACTCACTCTCCAGAATCTTTAGGTCTACTCGCAATGTTTAAATGCAAAAAAAGAAAAAAGAAAAAAGAAAGGAAAAAAGGAAGAAAGATAAAGAAAAGAAAATCTGAAGAAAAGATATTGCATGTAGCAAGAAATATGACAACTGTTTTCTTTCATTAGAGTTCTAGAATAGTACTGACACTCCCTGGGTGCACACGAGACTTGCCAGTTGTAACAGACAGCCAGCCCTGAAGCACTGACACATGTTTTTGTGCCACATTTACTTCTATAGAACATTGATTTTAATGGGACTTGCTAGGGAGTAACTATTCAACTTTGCCCATGGTCATCAAAGTCACTGCAGCATTTCTTTAGAATCCAGAGTCAATTCATTGTCCTGGCCAATGGCCAAACTGCAAGTTAGATAAATATCTTTTAGCTTCCTGTTTCCAAAACAAACAAAGCTAGCACCAAGGCCTAGTAGTTAAGGGAGCCTGATCCTATAGGCTGCCTGCATGGCTGAGTCCCACACTGGCAGCTTGAAAACCACACATGGCACATGGGTATGCATACCAAAAATCCCTACAGGGTAGAGAAACAGAGCAGAAAGGGTGACAGTGTGATCGTATTCCCTTGGAAGGTTACTCTCGCTCTTCCTCTCTGTCCCTCTGGCAAGTACATGTTCTCGTTAGCAATTAAAAAAAAAAAAATTAAAAACAAATCCTGCTATTCTGAGTTGGTTACATTTAATTAAACATATCAGTCTATCCATCTTTCCATCATCCATTTACTTATTAAATTATTAAAATTATTGTCTTTTGCTGATGTAGAACTGCTTTTTCATTTGTACTCAAGGAACATTTTTTGTCAATAGACTTTTGAGTTGTTATTTGGCACAAGAATTGCTATAAAAATAGAACGGGAGATTTAAACTACTGTTTAATTAGCAATTAGATTTAAGACCAGGACTTGGAGAAATAGAGTTAGGATGAACATCATTAAGCAGGTGACACCCTTCTCCAGGTGACATCCTCTTCCAAAAGTGAGATGTATTTTACAGAATAATTGATTATTGGGAACCAGCAGTTAGCGTAATGGCTATGTCGCTGGACTCCCACGTAGTCGACCGCGGTTCGCGTCCCGGACCCGGTGGCTTGAAACTCACGCCGGGCGAGTGTGCGTGCATGCCCAAGATCCCGAGAGGAGAATGGAGGAGAGGGGATTGCGGTGTGACCATCCCCCCTGGGGGGTGATTTCTCGCTTTCTGTCTCTATGTCTCTCTCTGTCTGTCTGGCGAGCGCACGCACCCTACAGTGAAAATCTCTCAAAAAAAAAAAGAATAATTGATTATTTAAAGATAAGATTTCGGAAATGGAAAAGAAAGACGAATAAAACCACATATTGCCATGCTTCAGTGTAAGATCTTCTTCAGCTATAATCAATTGGTGTTAGTTGAGGACATTCTCTTTATTAATGTCATGAAGTTATCGAAGGAAAAAAAGCAATAAATTGATCTCTGGGACATAATACTGCTTTCCCTGAGATTTACTCTCTCTCTCTCTCTTTTTTTTTTTTTTTTTTTGTTAATTTGCTATAGGTCATGTGTGGTTGCTGGGGGGAGGGGAAGGAGGGGGCAGAGTAAGCATCCCCTGGAGTCATGGCCATGCTGCGATCTCTTTTCCTCCATTCTCCTCTCAAGATTTTGGGCACACCAGCGCACGTGCATGGAGTGTTTCTGAAGTCACAGGGTCGGACACTTGAATTACACAGTTGCCCATATGGGATCTAGATGCCTGAACCACCATGTCACTTGCTGGCCCTGTTCCTGTGGCTGGTCTTTATCTCACTTTTTTTCTTTTATTTGGAGAGATGTTTTCCTACATGATACATGTGCTCACCAGAGAGACAGGGAGAAACAGTGAAAGAAAAGTGAGAAATCATCCCCAACTCCAGTGGGATGGCCATGCCTCAATGCCTTCTCCTCCATTTTACTTGTGGGATTTTGGGCATGCACACACATGTGCCCAGTGTGAGTTTCAAGCCTTCAGGTCCAGGTCTTGAACTGCAGTCAGCCATGTAGGAGTTCAGCCCATAAGCACTACGCCACCCGCTGGTCCTCTTACCTCATTTTTAATCCTATTTAAGCCTGCTCTTCTTTTCCACCACATTAAAATAGCATAAATGATTTACAAACGCTTAAATGAGAACTTGTATTGACATCAGACTTTGAATGATGATAATAAATCAATTTATGTTATAAATTCCATTCCTATTTTAGGAAATATTGATTTACCTTCTGTTGGCCAAAGATCCTAATTATAGAAGACATAAGAATTGATAATAATTTGCAATTTTGACTATTTTTGATTCTTCTTTAAAACAGTATAAGCTTACATATGTAAACTTCTCAAATTAGTCAACAAACTCAACCACAAGAACAAAGTAAATCTATATAAAGTCACTTTTTTAAAGGGCTACATGTTATAGTTCATACAATATGTTCCACACTAATTGTAGAAATCTTTGTCATTTAATTCTGAGACTAGACAAGACATGGCTCAGAATTGGCTCCTACATTGTCAATAGTCAGAAAGGCCTTCTCCTGAACCTCTGTGTCACAAAAATCCTTCCACGTAATAGATGTGCTTATGCCACCTCTCTCTATTTGAAAACAGTACCTTTAAAGCAGATGCCCTGTCGCTCATCTATTAATCATTAATTCACTTATTTGGTCAATCAACAAACATTTACCAATACGAAGTGCCAGGCACTGCACTGGTTGGACAGCAGATGGCTTGATGGGCAGGCAAGCAGCCTGGCTGGCTATCTATTTATTTATTTACTTATGAAAGAGAGAGAGTGAATGTGCATGCATGAAGGAGAGAGAGGAGAGAGAAAAGCATCCACTTGTTAGGCCATGATTCCCTTTCCTCAACCCTCCATCTTCTCAGAGTCTTCAGTACCCAAGCAGGCCTGGCACATTTTCAGGCCAACTTGGAAATCTGAGTCACCTAAAATTAACCATACTTTGCAGCCCAGTGTTCTGTGGACTGCACCCCCTAGGATGAGCCAGATGGGCTTATTTAAACCCTAGTATGTTCTTTAAAGGGTTCAGATTCTATTGAAGGAGAAAGACAAGTCACTAAATAAATAAAATTCAGTATGAATGATAGGAAAACTTCAATACAAACTCAATTCATTATGAAAACTACAGGCTTTTTCTAATCCACAGTGCAGTAACTATGTAATGCAGAGGAAGCCCGAGGAAGCCAGATCCTACATGGCCAATGGAGGATAGGGGTTAGAGTTCTGGCTCCCATGGCTTCATATGGGACATGTGTGTGCATGCCCAGAGTTCTGGTGGGATAAAGAATTGGAGAAAAAAGGATTGTGGGACTAAGCCCCATAAGAAGCAGGCAGAATCAATAGGGTATGTTGTGGGAGCACATGATTCTCTCTCTCTCTCTCTCTCTCTCTCTCACTCTCACTCTCACTCTCAAGCATGCATAACCTCTAGCATTAAAAAGAAACTATGAATAAGTAAGTACAGGGAGTGACTGATTATTTTCAGGGAATTAAGATAGGAACATGGTGACCATGGAAGGCATCATAACAGATAACGCACCTGAGCCCTGATTTAGTAAACAAATTCCTGCATGCGCCACCCAATCAGCACCTCTCAAATAAAGATGGATGGATGAATGAATGACAAAGCAACCTCAATGAAAAAATTCAGTCATAAGATTTAGAAAAATTTGCATTTTATCAGGTAACCCAGAGGAAAAAAACGGCCCTCAAGAAATGAAATGCGAATGTTGAACAAGGCCAACAGGTGGAATGTTGCACAAGGCCAAAGAGAGAAATCTCAGAAGCCAGAGGCTCCACATGCACTCCCACAACTCGTCCCATCGCCTCTGCCTGCTCCTGAGGCTGTTCCTGCTGCTGATACGCTGGGTTTTACAAAGTAGGCTGCTGTTTTGCAGTTTTAAAAAATGCTCACTGTTCTTATAGTCTACTCATGAAAAAGAGAACTATAAGATCGCTGATCTACTTGAAAAATACAGGGCCCAAACAAAAAAGTCCCTAAACACCTACACTAAGTCTTTCAGCACAAGTACCTGGGGACTTGTGGCCTGTTTAACAGCCACACTTTTCTCATCTTGTTTTGGTAATATATAACTACTAAGCAATAGTTACGGGGTAAAATGAACTTAGAACTTAATTAGTTGCTGTGCACATCTTGTTTTTTAATAATGCCAAAATGCAGTCACCCAAAAACTCACATGTGTATGATATACAGATGTTTTGTACTATTCTTCCTCTAGGTGAAGCATAAAGAACTAAAATAGGAAGGAATAGGGGAAAGTGGCATTTATAGAACATTAATCATAAAACAGAAAACAACATATTTGAAAAACAGATGTATGACTCTTTGATCTTATTTTTAGCTACTCCTCTTTCACAAAAATGTTGTCAAGGAGTAATTTTTGAACTATGTATCAGAAACTGATTAGTTGTTTCCTATTTTTATTTGTGTCTCAGAAGACAGAGGAAGAAGTGCAGGAGGAGGGATTTGGTTGACTACTTTCCAAAAGGGCGTGCTTTCTCACTTTGCCTCCCTCTTTTTCTTTCTCTCTCCCCTGTGAGTGTATGTGCCATTGAGCAAATTTAAAAAGGACGAGGAGGAGGAATATATGTATTTTTTCTATCAGGTTGGTGCAAAAGCCGTTGTAGTTTTGGACCCTGAATTTTAAATCATCATAAGTAAATTCAAACATATCACATTATTAGTCAAAATAGGAACCATTAAAATCAACACACTTTTGCCAATGAGAAATAAGTTTGCTTATTCCTGTAGCTTAAAAATCTATGCTTTGAGGAACCAGCAGTTAGTGTAATGGCTATGTTGCCGGACTCCCATGTAATTGACCGCAGCTCACGTCCCAGACCCAGTGGCTTAAAACTCACGTGGGGAGCGTGTGCGTGCATGCCCAAGATCCTGAGGGGAGAATGGAGGAGAAGGGATTGCAGCGTGGCCATCCCCCCGGGGGGTGATTTTTCTCTCGCTTTCTGTCTCTCTGTCTTTGTCTGTCTGGCGAGTGCACATGCCCTACAGCAAAACCTCTCCGAAAAAAAACCAAAAACCTATGCTTTGGGAGTCAATGAACTCTTGGAGGTCATTTTTTGCATCCTGCTGGCTGTGGAAGCATTTTTCTGCAAAAAGTTGTTGAGGTGCTTGAAGAAGTGGTATGGTAAGAAGTCAGGTGAATATGATAGACAAGACAAAATCTCATAGCCCAATTCATTCAACTTTTGAAGCTTTGGTTTTGAGACGTGTGGTCAGGCATTGTCATGGAGAAAAACTGTGCCCTTTCTGTTTGACCAAAGCCAGCTATAGGCTTTGCAGTTTTTTTTTTTTTTTTGGAGAGATTTTCACTGTAGGGCGCGTGTGCTCGCTAGACAGACAGAGAGAGACATAGAGACAGAAAGCAAGAAATCACCCCCCAGGGGGGATGGTCACGCCACAATCTCTTCTCCTCCATTCTCCTCTCGGGATCTTGGGCACGCACGCACACGCGCCCGGCGTGAGTTTTAAGCCACCGGGTCCAGGACACGAACCGCAGTCGACTACGTGGGAGTCCAGCAACATAGCCATTACACTAACTGCTGGTTCCCTAGGCTTTGCAGTTTTTGACATATCCTATGGATTTGCTGAATATACTTCTCAGACGTAATAGTTTCACAAGGATTCAGAAAATAGTGGGTCAGACCCCACCAAACAGTGACCATGACCTCTCTGTGGTGTCAGTTTGACTCTCGAGGTTCTTAGTCCAACCACTGAGTTGGTCTTCTCCAGCTGTATACAGTCTACTTCGCACATATCACAATCCAATTGAAAAATGGTTTGCTGTTAGTAAATAGAATAAGGGAAGATGACACTTCAAAACAATGACTTTTTACATTTTTGGTCAGTTCACGAGGCACATACTTATCAAGCTTTTTGACTTTTCCAATTTACTTCAAATGCCGAATGACCACAGAATGGCTGATATTCAGTTCTTCGGCAACTTCTTGTATAAGAAGGTCAGCTTTGATAACTGCTCTCAATTGGTCGTTGTCTACTTTGGTGCCTGGCTACTTCATTCCTCATCTTCAAGGCTCTTGTGTCCTTTGTAAAACTTCTCGAACTATTGTACGTTCGTGAGCAATTTCTGGGCCAATGCGTTGTTAATGTGAGTTGTCTCCACTTCTTTAGGACTTATTTTAAACTCAAATAAGAGAATTGCTCAATTTTTATTTTTTAGTCTAACATAGACTAAACTACATATAAACAGCATGCAATAAGTCATAGAAAAAAATAGCAAGAAATGTGTATTAAAATGATATCTAACATAACCACATTTATTTAAAAATGCATCCAGTTTTAAATAGCAAATTTCAATAACACAAAATAACAATTACTGAGACCAGCAGGCAGTGGTTAAGGTGCTGGACTCCCATGTGGCCAACCGTGGTTTGAGTCCCAGAACTAGTGGCTTGAAATTCATGCTGGGCATGTGTACATGTATGCCAAAAATCTCAGGAGGAGGAGGAAGGAGAAGGGATTGAGGTATGGCCATTCCCCTTTGAGGTTGATTTCTCCCATTCCCTCTCACTTTGTCTCTGTCTCTCTGTCTCTCTCTCTCTGGCAAGTGCACATGCTCTATAGAAAAAAAACCTTAAAACAAACCAAAAAATAAAAAAAAATTACAGAACTACTTTTGTACTAACCTAATATTTAGCCCAGAGAGATACATAAAATTTAAAAAATTTTTCAAATAAGTTTCCAAATAGAAAAAAATCAATAAACACATTATTACACAATAGGTTTATTTTTTCTTTTTTTTTTGGAGAGGTTTTATCTTATTGGGCGCTTGCACTCGCCAGAAAGACAGAGAGAGACAGAGAGATAGAAAGCAAGAAATCACCCCACAGAGGGGATGGCCATGCCACAATCCCTTCTCCTCCATTCTCGTCTCGGGATCTCAGACACGCACGCACATGTGCCCAGTGTGAGTTTAAGCCACCAGGTCCAGGACTTGAACCACAGTCAACTACATGGGAGTCCAGCGAAATAGCCATTACACTAACTGCTGGTCCCACAATAGGTTATTTTTTAAATAGAATTTTTTTTTCAGGTAAAAATAAAGCTAAGCCTGGCCCCATTACATAGTGACTAAGTGCTGTGAGCATGGAGCTGGACATGATTCAAAGCAGTTGGACTCTTGGCCTGGAGACTTGAAAAACGTGTTCAAAGGGTGTGTGTGTCTATCCCCAAAATCATGATGGGAGAGAGAAATAGAAGAGGACTGCAGCATGACCACACTCTACTGAGGGTACTTTTCCTCTCTCTTTCTCTCTCTCTCTCTTTCTCCAGTGAATGAACATGCCCTCTGTAAGTTAAAATATAAAAAGAAGAAACAAATATAAATAAATAATAATGACTAAATAAAATCCCAGCAGTAAAGTGAAAAAGAGAAAAGGTTGCAAACACTCTCAGTAATATCTTCTCAGATTTCAGACACAACACTTTTACAATATTGGGCCAGCAGAAGGCATAGTGGTTATGTCAGTAGACTCCCACACGGCCTACTGTGGTTTGGTTAGTACTAGACCTGGTGGCTTGAAAATCAAGCCCAGTGTGTACTTGTGTGCCTAAGATCTCAACGGGAGAATAAAGAAGTGATTGCAGCATGTCCGTGTACCCTGGGAGCTGATTTCTCACTTTTCCTCTCACTCTGTCTCTCTCCAGCATCCTATGATGAGAACCTCTAAAAAAGGAAAAAACAAAACAAAACAAGCAAACAAACAAAAAAAGCTGCTACTATATTGATAAAAATATCCCCTAAATCTGTCAGGATGAGTAAATATATTGTCCACAATAAGATAGTTCGTAACTTTTTTCTTTTAAACCCTTAACTGTTTTCTTCTGTATCAGCAATTGTAGCTTTTCTATTATTTAATTCACGTCAAGTTGTCTTTTGCTCTGATATTCCCCTTGCATTTTTTTCTCTCTTCCTTTTATTCTGACTATCCCTCTCATCTTCCATGCACTATTTCCCCGCTTCTGTAGAAAGCATAGCTCTACTCTATAACCTTGAGTCAAATAGCTAGAATCAAGTAAGGAGTGAAGATACATTAGACTTAAGGCTGTATAAAAATAATTTGGCCAAGCTCCTGTGTCTGGTGTGCTATCAACGGCATCGCATGGACTGTGTCTGTCCGTGAGTGGGAAGCAGAGTACAGGATCTATTGTCTGGGTTTGACTCCATAGTTTGGTGCAAAGCCTTCTGGAGCTTCCCCAGGGCAGTCAGCAGAAGCCACAGCAGCCACCCCCACCCCTCTCCTCTGCCCCCTGGTCCTGGAGGGACTGAACCCGCATCACGTCCCTCAGTGCTGGATGTTCCCTTCTCAATTGTTCCGTCCGCATGGCGTCCCCGGAATCGGAAGGTGCCCCATAGATTGCCAGCTTTCTCCTGAGGGTCAACGAGAAAGAGATTGTGAGATCACGTACTATAGGTGAACTTCTAGCTCCAGCAGCTCCTTTTGACAAGAAATGTGGTCGTGAAAATTGGACTGTTGCTTCTGCTCCAGATGGTTCACACTTTGCATGGTCACAAGGACATCGTACAGAAAAGCTTGTTCCATGGTCCCAGTGCCTTAAAAACTTTCTTTTGCATGGCACCAAGAATGATACCAATTCAAGCAGTTTAAGACAAAATAGTTACAGTGGACAGAAAAGTAATCCTCGTGAACATATTATAGACTGTGGTGATATAGTCTGGAGTCTTGCTTTCGGGTGTTTGGTTACAGTAAAACAGAGTCTTTGTGTAAATATAGAATGGCATCCATTCAGATTTGGACAAAATCAGCTGCACCTTGCCACAGGTCTAAACGATGGACGTATCAAAATATGGGATGTATATACAGGGAAACTCCTCCTTAACTTGCTAGATCATACTGAAGTGGTCAGAGATTTAACTTTAGCTCCAGATGGTAGCTTGATACTAGTGTCAGCTTCAACAGACAAAACTCTCAGAGTATGGGACCTGAAAGATGATGGAAACATTATGAAGTGTTGAGAGGGCATCAGAAATGGCTGTACAGTTGTGCATTCTCTCCCGACTCTTCTATGCTATGTTCAGTTGGAGCCAGTAAAGCAGTTTTCCTTTGGAATATGGATAAACATACCATGATACGCAAACTAGAAGGATATCACAATGATGTTGTAGCTTGTGACTTTTCTCCTGTTGGAGCATTACTGGCCATAGCATCTTACGATACTCGAGTATATGCCTGGGATCCACATAATGGAGAAATTCTGATGGAATGTGGGCACCTGTTTCCCCCACCTATTCCAAATTTTGCTGGAGGAGCAGATGACCAATGGGTACAATCCGTATCTTTTAGTCATGATGGACTGCATGTTGCAAGCATTGCTGATGATAAAATAGTGAGGTTCTGGAGAATTGATGAGGAATATCCAGTCCAAGTCGCACCTTTGAGCAATGGTTTTTGCTGTACCATTTCTACTGATGGCAGTGCTTTAGCTGCTGGAACACATGATGGAAGTGTGTAGTTTTGGGCCACTCCAAGGCAAGTGCCTAGCCTTCAACGTTTATGTCGCATGTCAATTCAAAGAGTGATGCCCACTCAAGAAGTCCAAGAGCTGCCGGTTCCTTCCAAAGTTTTTAGAGGAATTTGCCTTTCCTGGTTACAGTAGGAAATGACAAATAAACCTTACATAATCCTTAAGTTACAGTAGGAAGTGACAAAATACACCTTACATAAATCTTAAGCTTTACTGTCTTCAAGTATCTGTTTTCAAAGGTTTAGAAGACTTATTTAATTTGATACTTTTTTTTTTTTTTTTGGAGAGGTTTTTGCTATAGGGCACGTGCGCTCGCCAGACAGAGAGAGACAGAGAAATAGAAAGCAAGAAATCACTCCCCCAGGGGGGATGGCCACGCCACGATCCCTTCTCCTCCATTCTCCTCTCGGGATCTTGGGCACGCACGCACACACGCCCGGCGTAAGTTTAAGCCACCAGGTCTGGGACGCGAACCATGGTTGACTACATGGGAGTCCAGCGACATAGCCATTACACTAACTGCTGGTCCCTAATTTGATACATTCTTGTATTGTATTTTGATCAGTTGAGCTTTTAAATATTATTTATAGACTATATGAGAAATATTGCTGAACATATCAAATGTAATTTTTTTTAAAGATCAAACTGAAAACATACATATATACACATGTATATATTTAGATACTAGCTGTTATATGTTGAATGGACCCTTTTGCTTTTCTGATTTTTAATTTTGGTCTGTATATATTGCTTTAGTAGAGCCACATTATGTGTCTTTGCTGTAAAGTGTAAGGAATTTTAAAATTCTGGGACACTGAGTTTGATGGTAATTATTGACTTGGGAAAGCTGAATTGCCTCATCAAAATGTATTTGGTTGGGGGACTGGGGTGTTGAACTGACATGCCAGTGACATACAGTTTGTATGGGGATTTTGTTTTGCTTAGGGATCTTATCTTAGAGGTAGAGTTTAAATATGACATTTTAAAAAACAAAACAACACAAACAGAGTCAGAATATAACTAGAAAAACTGTGTCATGGTTTCCACCCACCATGTGTGCCCCTCCAACTGAAGTGTTGTGGTGGGCCTTAATTTTTTTTGTTGTTTGTGTTTTTTTGGGTTTTTGAGAGGTGTTCGCATAGGGCGCGTGGGCTCGCCAGACAGACAGAGAGAGACATAGAGACAGAAAGCGAGAAATGGTCACGCCACAATCCCTTCTCCTCCATTCTCCTCTCGGGATCTTGGGCACACACGCACATGCACCAGGTGTGAGTTCTAAGCCACTGGGTCTGGGACGCAAACTGTGGTCAACTACGTGGGAGTCCAGCAACATAGCCATTACGCTAACTGCTGGTTCCCAATCACAGGACTAATTTTGACAGAGAAGCCTTAATTTTGGAAAGCACCTGGGCACTTCACCCCTCTGGAATAAAGTATTTGATATTTTAGTCATTTTGAGAAATCCAACTACTAATACTTTGTTTGTACAAGGGACAATTCTTTCAAGACCATGGATTGAAAAAACTTACTGTATGTTTCTGCAGGGGATGATGTTGGTGACTTGCCAAAGAGAAGCAATACAGTATATCTGCTTTTCCCTTCTGTTATTTATCTTACCTGCAGATATTAAGAATGTATGCATTATGTGAAATGTTTGATTATATATTTTTGTTGACTTTTTAATTTTTTAAAAAAATTTTGGCCAAATGCCCATTAAGAATGATAATCAAGCCATATGAAGTGGAAAATATATGACTGTTTATAAACTATAAATTAAAACAGAAAAGAAAGAAAAGGAAAATGTCAGGAGTTACAAATATAAGAATATACTGAAAAAGGGTAGTTTTATTTCCATTATGTGAAAATCAGAGAAGCAAATATCCTTTACCTAGCATCAAAATATATGAAATTGTATACTTTAAAATATTCCAAGAACAATATGCAAATGCACTTTGATATAAGATCTGGTTCAAAGTAACCACTTTACAGGGACTCTAGAAGTAGAGATCTAAGTTTCTTAAAAACTGTAAATGACCCAAAGAAGTTGGTTGCCCTCAAGGTTTAGTTTAAATAAGCCATCCAGAGAACATTCCAACTTCAAGGTGAACTACTTTAATTGGGACATTTATCCTGTGAAGTTTTCCAGTTATTGCTTCTGGTACTCCGTGAATAGCAATGTCTTATGAATTACCATTTCCCAACTAAGAGACGCAGAAATTCCCAGTTTCTTTAAAGAACACAATATTTCAAAACTTGGTCTCTATGAAAGCGTGGAACAGAAGTTCTAATCAATCTGAATTTTATTAAATGGTTTACCCTCTATATGTTAGGACAAGAATAGTTTTTATGCTGTGATTAAAGCTAACACTCAGAGCAGGTGATAATAAATGCTAGACAAAGAAAATAAGTTTTTTTTTTGGAAAGTATTTTTTGGCTATAGGGCACGTGTGCTCACCAGGAAGACAGAGATAGACAGACAGAAAGCAAGAAATCACCCCCCAGGGCTGATGGCCATGCCACAATCCCTTCTCCTCTATTCTCTCGGGGTCTTGGGCATGCACACATAGGCGCCTGGAGTGAGTTTAAGCCACCAGGTCTGGGACTCAAACCACGATTGACTACATGGGAGCACAGTGACATAGCCATTACGCCAACTGCTAGTCCCAGAAAATAACTTTTTAATTTACCTTTTTACTTTCCTTATTTTATAGCAATGGGATAGTTGTCAGTCAATAGTTTCATTCCCTTTTTATTGGCATCTTTGGTTCTCCTAGCAATATGTATTCTCGTATTTATTTGTTTGCTATAGGGTACATATGCTTGCTGTAGAGACAAAGAAAGACAGAGAAAGAAAGCAAGAAATCACCCCCTGGGGGGATGGCCACACTATATACCTTTCCTCTCCATTCTCTTTTCAGGATTTTGGCCATGCACACACATATGTCCTGTGTTGAGATTAAGTTGCTGGGTCTGGAACTCGAACTGTGGTTGACCAGGTGAGAGTCCAGTGACATAACCATCGTACCATCTGCTGGCATCCCCACAGTATGTATTTTAGAAAAGAAATTTCGAAACATGGAGTTTCAAGGCTGTGCCATTACAAGTCAGGACTTTCCCACTCACTGGTACTGTTAACAGATAACACCACAGATAAGAGCTCCAATCAACTTCGGTACGTACCCAGAGGCAAGCTCTTGCTTCTTGCTGATTAGCTTCATTCAATTATGCCTCTTAATTGTTCATGTGCTAAAGCTCATTAAATGAAAAATAATATTGCTTTCCTGCGGGTAGGGCACTTGAGATTTGAAAAATAGCCACTTCATCTCTACCTCAAAGGCACAAGTGAGTTAATCTGATGGTATCTGGAAAAGCTCAATAGATTTGTGCAGATAGTTCTGTCCCAGGAAGGGAAAATAGGATTAATAAAATTGCTAAATCAAGTCAGAAATAAAATTACTCCCAGTTTTTTCTTTAAGGCTAATTTTCAGGAAAATTAAACCCAGTTTTGTACTATTTGATTAGGCTCACACATGTCATATAATTTTCTTTTCTTTTTTGTTTTTTTTTGTTGTTGAGGTTTTTGCTATAGGGCACGTGTGCTCGCCAGAAAGAGAGAGACAGAGACAGAAAGCGAGAAATCACGCACCCCCACGGGGGAGGGCCACGCCCCAATCTCTTCTCCTCCATTCTCCTCTCAGGATCTTGGGCATGCACATGCACGCACCCGGCTTGAGTTTAAGCCACCGGGTCCGGGACTCGAACCACTGTTGCCTACTTGGGAGTCTAGCGGCATAGTCACTATGCCATCTGCTGGTCCCATAATTTTCATTTTTAAAAAAGCAGTCATTGTTATTCCAATGAAGATTGGATTACATGATGGGTAATAAATATTTATATTTTCCTGGAAATAAATTTTAGCTAAGAAAAAAATGTATATCAGAATTTCTAATTACTTTTGAATTATTCTAAGGATGGAGAAAGTTAGGCTTATTTCAGTGAAATAGCTTGAGTGCCTACTTTGTTCCAGTCCTAGTGCTAGGTAATGTGAATACAGTAGTACTAACTAAGTTTTGGGAAAGGTTTACAGTCTGGTAGAGTAGAAATAATAACACTATAGTCAAAAGCTAACATACATTGGCTCTTTATTATGCATTTATCAAGTGCTTGATCTAAACACATCGCCTTACTGACTCTTTGGAACAATCTTATAGACCATATTGTACCCTATGTTTTAGGTGTGGAAACTAAGGTTTAGAAAGATTAAGTCAGGGCCACCTGCTGGCTAAATTGGTGAAGGTGGCTGGATCCCTCATAGTCAATCATATGGTCTGAGTTCTGGAACCAGGGACTTGAAAAACATGTTGGGCACATATGAATGCATTGCCCCTTTGGACAGCATTTTCTCCCTCTCCCTACCTCTCTGTGCATGTGTATTCTCTGAAGAGCCCACATACCCTCTGGCAAATAATAAGAAAGAAAAAAAAAAAGAAGAAGAAGAAGGATAGAAGGAGCGAGTGGAGGGTGGGAAGGAAGGAAGGCAGATAAAGTCACTTCCTGATGTCACATAACTAAGGTGGTTAAAGTTTCGGTTTGAACAGGACCTGTCTCTACAGCATGAGCTCCTAACTACTGGTGGTCTTTACTTTGTCCAGCTCCCATATGCACAAATTTCAGTTACCATGGTTTGGTTGAACTACACTAATTAGCCAACAACGTGGTTTGTATTTCAGTTTCCATAGTTCAAACTTTGCTCCTTGCTCTTTGGTCCAAAATCATTATGCAAATAACAGGTATGCTTCCTGATGGGTGATCAGGATAGAAGGAGCGAGTGGAGGGTGGGAAGGAAGGAAGGCAGATAAAGTCACTTCCTGATGTCACATAACTAAGGTGGTTAAAGTTTCGGTTTGAACAGGACCTGTCTCTACAGCATGAGCTCCTAACTACTGGTGGTCTTTACTTTGTCCAGCTCCCATATGCACAAATTTCAGTTACCATGGTTTGGTTGAACTACACTAATTAGCCAACAACGTGGTTTGTATTTCAGTTTCCATAGTTCAAACTTTGCTCCTTGCTCTTTGGTCCAAAATCATTATGCAAATAACAGGTATGCTTCCTGATGGGTGATCAG